TCCGACCCATAGCGACCCTGTACAGGGTTTCCGAGGGTGTAAATCTTTACGGGAGTAGAAAGCCTCATCTTTCTGCCGCGGAGCGGCTGGTAGTTACGAACCACTAAACCTTAAGGTTCACAGCCTGATTCGTAACCACTACGCTACCAGAGCTCCCATCATAGTTATTGCTAAAAACTGTTTTTAGGGTTTTTGTACATGAGAGGCTTCAAAAACTGGTGTGGAAAATGGAACAGAAAAGAATGGAATTTTTTCAGGACCTTGTTGAAACCCGTTCTTACCTGCTCCTATACTGCTGCAAGGCAGTTCTGATACTTAGCGCCCATTTCACAGATGAGGAAACTAAGGGCTGGAGCATCACAGAGCAGGATCAAACGCAGACCGGTGGCCCTGGGCTCCATGTGTGTGACCACAGAACCTGGAGGAGGGGGTGGGCTCACCATCTTGGACTTGGCAGTTGACCATCATTTCATATTAAAAGAGTTCAGAGGAAGGAGATTCGATTCCCAGCCAAAATGATCAGGAGTAACAGCAGTCATAATGCTAACAGTAATGGTGGGATTTCCTATGTGCTGGCTCTCAGGGCTGGGTAGAGCTGAAATAGACGAAAGGAAGGTTTGCAGTTAGTAATGCATGCACTGGAAATATGGGGGCCTTCGAAACGTTTGTGGGAAAAATGGAATTGTTATATATTGGAACTTTCCTATACACGTTTTAAAGCCCTGATACATTAAGAGGTGTTGTTAAGAGCCCTGTTGGGCCAAAGCCAAAGGACCTCATGAAGTTAAGTCTGCAATGCCACATGCAGTGGGCTGTAGAGCAGGCAGGGTGGGGAGGGATTGGAGAGATGTCTGAGGGAGTCAGGGGCACCTTACCTGGAGAGCAGGCGAGTTTGCACTTATAGGCAGAGATCCTGGAGAGGGAGATGAAGCAGGCCTCAGTTCAGATTAAAATATTTTTTGAAAAGCCAGAGGGAATTGTTGAAACGAATATTTTTTAAGAAAAGCTGACCACACCGATTGTGTGGAACCAAGAAACGCAGCCATCAGAGCTACCCCAAAGATTGTCGCCTCCAGAGAATTAGCTGGGCTCTAGGAAAATCTGTTTTCAAGGAAAGTGAGTTTGGCTTTCGATGACATTGAGTTTGAGTACATCCAGAGATAAGCTGTCAAGCAGAGTGTAGCCAGTAAAAAGCAGCTCAGGGTCAATGACCAGTTGCTGTTCGTTCGGTTCTGACTTGTGTTGACGTCATGTGTGTCAGAGTAGAACTGTGCTCTGTAGGTTATCGTTGGCTGGTTTTTCTGTGGTAGAATGCCAGGTCTTCTGAGGCACTTCAGGGTGGACTCGACCCTCTAACTGTTGTGTTAGCACAGAGTGACTGCATTAACTGTTTGCAGCACCCAGGACTCCCTAGGCTGATGGGGATAGACAGAGGTCAGGCAGCAGTTAGTACAAAGGGTGGTGGGAACGAAGGTCCATGGGAAGCCCGAGCCAGGCTGCAAGGTGTAAGGAGAAGGGAGGAGGTGGTGAATCCAGAAGTCTGTCGGTGAGGGTGGAAAAGCAGGAGAGCATCAGGCTAGGAGGAACAGCTCCCTGGCTGCCCCCCCTGCGTCACTCTTAGTGGAGTGGAAGACATCCAGGTACCTGTTGGCGCTGTGAAGACAGGTGTGCATGGGACCACACTGCCCCTCAGATCCTCGTCCTCCATGAGGTGACCCCCAGAGATGCAGCCTTACTGTCTATGGGGAAAGAAACGCCAGCATCTGGGTGGCTTTCAGGCCTGCTGGTCCCTGGGATGTCCCCTTGGAAGGGCCCGGACCCCACGCGCCCTCACTGCTCTGGTTTCGCTCCACAGCAAGAAGGCTTCGCCATCTACTCGGAATACTGTAACAACCACCCGGGCGCCTGCCTGGAGCTCGCCGGCCTCATGAAGCAGGGCAGGTACCGGCACTTCTTCGAGGCGTGCCGCCTGCTCCAGCAGATGATCGACATCGCCATCGACGGCTTCCTGCTGACGCCGGTGCAGAAGATCTGCAAGTACCCGCTGCAGCTGGCCGAGCTACTCAAGTACACCACGCAGGAGCACAGGTGAGTGGCTGACGGAGGCTTCTCCCCAGGAGCTGCATGTTGGCCTAACGCTGTGGGTTGGAGTCCCTGGGGTGGCGCTGCGGGCTAATGCGCTGGACCACAAGGTCGTCGACTCAAGCTCACCAGCCGTTCCTAGGAAAACCTTATACAAGATCACAATGGATTGGAACCAACTTGACGGCACTTAACAACAATGTTATAGATTCCATCTATTTAAAAAAAAAACCTACAGGAAATGCACAAAAACACATGCTCTTTTCTTAAACATAACAAAACCATTGCACTTTACCTCATATCTGGAATTGCACAGGAAAACGTGTACAAAAGACATAGTTGTCTTATAACCTTTCTTCATTGCTAGAGACCTTTTGGGGGATTTGGGTACTCTTGTTTCGGCAGCCCCCTTATTTTCTCTTTATTCTTGCTCTCTGACTTGTGCTCCTGGGTGTGAGTGGGATTTCAGCTCAGGGCATGCTTGTCTTTCCAGCAGTGTCTGCTTTGTGCGGAATGGCCCAGTGAAGGCAGGGCATGTGAGAGTAATGGTGTTTGGTAAACAGACACTGGAATCTACTTCATGGCTGTGCAGATGGATTCTAACTCAGCCCAGCTGAGATCCAGTGGCCTCCGTCTGTCACCACAGGGACGTGTTAGAAACCCACTTCCATGGAGTTGATTTCGGCTCATAGCGACCCTGTCTGTACATCTTTATGGGAGCAGAAAGCCTCATCTTTCCTCATTGAAGCGCTTGGTGGGTTTTAACTGTCGACCTTTAACAGTTAGCAGTCCAGTGCTTATCGTCCAGTGCTACCAGAGCCAGTTTAAATAATAATGAAATATTTAAATATTTAAATAATAATGAAATATTTAAAATCTTCAGCTGAGTGTTAGACAGGAGGCCGCTGAGCAGAACGTGAGTCGTGTCAAACCTTCGATCGGATATGTGCTCTCCTGGCCTGGGTGTCTGTTAGAATTCAGTCTGCAGTTTTCGAAGGCTTGGCAACAGCAGCAGCTGTCTGTAGGCAAGTCCATCTCAGTTTGATTCAACTGTGGTTCCAGGACACCACCAGAAATGAAGATCTGTTGGTGAGTCAACATCGTGTTCATCTCTCCAACCAACCACATGAGACTTGTGTGTCCTCCCGTGCCCTCTCCTGACCACCCGGAAGATGTGACTAGGAGCAAACCGTTACTCTTGCGAATGGCCGGTGATTTCTCTAGTACTTGACATAGCAGAACCGGCATTTCAGAATCAACACAATCATAAAAAAACAACACCCCGTTCTTTATTAATGAAAATAATCCATTGTCACCGCGATGAAGACTTAGCTCTTGTGGCCTTTACTTCCATTCACTGTGGCTTCTGGGAAATGAATGAAAACATTCTTAATCCGAAGAACTTGGAATTGCATTGGGTCAGCACTCTTACCCTGAGCAGACTGTAGTCTATTCATGCCGGGACAAGAGCAGGGAAACAATGGCTGTTCTTCAATGCCACTTTGTCTAGATTCTCTTGCTCTACAAATCCGGGCGAGAGGGCACCCTTGTGGCCGTTTCGTGTGCAACGTGATTAAAATGAGCCTTCCTCTTTGCAGTGATTACAGCAATATCAAGGCAGCGTATGAGGCCATGAGGAACGTTGCATGTCTGATCAACGAGCGGAAGCGCAAACTGGAAAGCATCGACAAGATCGCCCAGTGGCAGGTGTCCATAGTGGGCTGGGAGGTACGTGTGAGCCCGCCCCTCCTACCTTCACCCCACGTCACCCCGTCTCGGCTCACTCTCTTCTCCACCTCCTACTTGGTACTTAAATATTCAGTGAGAGATGCTTTTTATACTTGGCTGTATGTAAAAAAAAAACAATTTTTTTTTCTCTAACTTTTATGAAAGTTTTCAGAGCAGGTCATTCGTTTTACATTCAACGACTCATACACTCCCAGTGACTGCGGTGCCCTCAGCGGAACATCACTTACCTGTTTCCTCCCTGTGATTCTGGTTTCCATTCTTCCTCCGTCCTCCCACCCTTATGAACTTTGTCCCTCGGTAAATGTTGCCCTTTTGGATCTGAGTGGTTGACCATTCTATGATGTACTATACCTCACCAGTGTTGTCCCCCCATCTACCGATCTCTTTATTGACTGAAAATTGAATCACAGCGCTGCTGATGTTAAATATTACGCGACATATAGTTGAAGTAGCCCACTATACCTGTCCCCAAACACAATAAAATATGAAGGGGCTTCAGAAATTCCATGGGGGAAATCCCATTATCTTTTCATTCCGTTTTCCCATGAACTTTTTGAAGACCCTTTGTACTGTTTGCAAAGTATGGGTAAGTTTCCCACTTCTTACCGTGTGACTGGCCAGAGAGTCAGCCCCGTGAGAGTGCTCATAGTGCAGGTCTCTGGGGTCAGCCTGAATCCTGTGTGATCCACGCATGGTTCATCTTTTCATCCCTACAATGGGGAGGGAAGTACTGCCCACCTCATAGGATAGCTGAGAAGACTGTTAAAGGTGATACAGTATTTGTTCCAGCCAATGATGAGGGGCCAACAGAACTCTGTGGATGTATACACACACACACTGACAAGGGGGCTTCCAAAAGTGCATGGAACGATTCCATTATTTTTTTTTTCCAATTTCTTGTGGATTAACTTTTTTAAAAGTTTTTGTTGTGAATTGATTGCTAGTTTACATGGGAGAACATTGCTTTTACACCATCATTTCATTGCAATGATTACAATCTTCTCTGTATATCATCATTCAACAATTTTCTTGTATTCCCTCTGGTTTTTTTGTTTGTTTGTTTGTTTGTTTGTGTTTTGGGGGGATGTACACAAAAACACTCAGGAATATATAATCATTTAAACAACCAAAAGGCACATTCTGCAAGCCTGCCTCCTGGCCACCAGCACACAGCCTTTCTCTTCCCATGAATCTAGAGTCCTCAGCTGCTCCCTCTCCCCATGTCCTCATCTCTGCCTCCATCTCTGGTGTCACTGCTTCTCTGGAGAGGGTCCCACATTCCGCTTGTGGTTTTCTCCCTTCATGGTCCTGGGGTCCTCTGGTTAGGACTGTAAGATTAATTACTCTCCCCTTTTTGTTACAAAACTTCTACATTTATAGTTGTGACAATCACAATTCGTCATGGTAACAATTACTCACTATTGAATCGTAAGAATCTTATCTCCAAGACTCCATTATCTTTTATGTCTACTTTTCCCACACACTTTTTGATGGCCCGAGGGTCTTAACTTTAGACCAAGCGAGGCTCGCACCACGTCACCTGAATTGACTCACTTTAACCCCATGGAACTCACTTTCCCAGAGGATTGCAAAAATCATGAAAAAGTTGAGTTTTTGCCTAAAGTAGATGGTTAGAGCAGTGAGCGCTGGAAAAGAAACTCTCCTTGCGATGGCGGACTCCTGGGTAGAGCCTCCGACACATGGCTCTTGGTCCTCCCCTGTATAATGAAGACTCTCAAGCTTAGGGCTGCTTCAGGCAAGTAAGTAGAAGGCTGTTTATGGAGTTCCCGACTGGGATGAAAGGAGAATCAACTCTTAGAAAAGCGAACAGCCAGCTTCATAACAAATACACGATAAAGTTACATTGGATTAGATCTAACCTAACTATTTTGAAATAGGTGGTGTTTTTTTTTATTCGTGCTGATTTTTCATGGAGGGGATAATCTACTGTCAGACTCTTACCAGTTTCTTGCTGGCAGTTTGCCTTCTGGCCTTTTCTTCCCAAGACCCTAGATGAGCAATCAGTCCAGAGAGCCGCTTTCTACCTGACTTGGAAGGCAGGTGCATACTTAGCACTCTGCCCCCGTGCACTGAAGCTGTCTTGAACCTTCTTTGCTCTTGAGGATTGGCTTGAGCCAGTTCCATTTAAATTCTCACTACCCCAAAACTGGAATCCTGGTGTGGCATGCTGTAGAATAAGCATTGAACTTCTCACTATGAGTCAGAACATACTTCATGGCGCTGAACAACAACAACCAAAAACCACACACTGGCATCGGATCCATTCCAACTCATAACAACTCTACATGACGTTTCTGAGGCTGGAAATCTTCATGGGAGTGGGCGGCCTCATCTTCCTCCTGTGGAGTGGCTGGTGGGTTTGAACCGCCAACCTGGTGGCGAACAAACCAGTGCTGATCCCACAGCACACCAGGGCTCCTTGTACATCCTGACTAGATTCCACTAACCTGGCCTGCTTCTCAGCAGACGTTCCTTGTCTGTAAGGAAGTTATCTCAGATAACCTGAGGTGCCTATTAACACTTAAGCCACTGAGTCGGGAGAAAAAGAAAATGAATTTTATGCTCCAGGAGAGAATGAACTGAGGTGTAATCTAGAAGTCCTGGTGTGGCCACACAGAACCACAAAGTTGTTTTGAACCACAAAGTCACTGGATCAAAGCCACCAGCCGCTCCCCAGAGACACTAGACAGGGCTGCTACAAGTTGGAACTGACTAGACAGCTCTTGACAACAACAATCTAGCCTCTGAGACCTGTTGTGCACAGGACTGGGGCAGGCGTGGAAGCCCCCATGGGGCTGAAAAGTCTGAGGAAGGCCCTATACCAGGAGGCCTCCTTGGGTTACAGAAACACAGAAGGGCCAAAATAGGCGGGCTTACATTTTCGTGTGTTTGTCTTTCTAGGGCCTGGACATCTTAGACCGGAGTTCAGAGCTGATCCATTCTGGAGAGCTGACCAAAATCACCAAGCAAGGCAAGAGTCAGCAGCGGGTCTTCTTCCTATTTGACCACCAGCTGGTGTCCTGCAAGAAGGACCTACTGCGCAGGGACATGTTCTACTATAAAGGCCGGACAGACATGGACAGCATGGTGCCGGTGGATGTGCCAGACGGTCGAGACCGCGACCTCAACCTCAGCCTAAAGAATGCCTTCAAGCTCGTCAGCCAAGCCACGGACGAGGTGTACCTGTTCTGTGCCAAAAAGCACGAGGACAAGGTGCGCTGGCTGCAGGCGTGTGCGGACGAGAGGCGCAGGGTGCAGGAGGACCGAGAGATGGGTGAGCAGTGCAGCGAACTGGCTGTCCTTGCATCCAAGACCCCCTCCCTGTCCCACAGATCAACCCCCCACCCCCCAATACATAACACACACAAAGTCAAATCCCACCACTGGGTAAAGGAAGAGAGACAGCAAATCCTAAATAGCCCTCTGCTTACGGACTAGCAGACTGAGGCAGATACGGTTGTCGCAGGCAATGGGGAGTCAGTATTCACCTCGAGCCGGGTACCATGCTCCACACTCTCCCAGCCTGTCTCATCCAGTCCTTACAAAAAGGACTGTGTCGAGGACGTTACAGGTGAGGGCAGTAATTATGGCTTAAGGGGATATTTCACTCTTACATCATGGCCAATGGCCTTGAAAACTCGGTCCTTCTGACCCCAGAGACTGGACCCTCCAGCCATTAGAAATAGCAGATGAGTTTTATTACGACTATTATTGTGGTTGGAAATATAAGGTGGAGCTCGAGAAAAAAAGCTCATGGAAAAATGGAATTTTCCCACGAACTTTTTGAAACCCTCCTAGACATACAGCAAAGCACTCCGTTTCAGTAATTCCTATACATTCTTCAGATTGTACTTCTAATCTCGCCCTCCTTTACCACACATCCATTCCCCATAAACTCGTTGGCCCCAAGCTTCCTGTTGGACCTTTGGGGTTCCTGCTATCAATTTGATCCCATGTAGATCTTGTAAGCAGCATAATACTCAAGGCAGACATTAGCTCCTAGTTAAGCTGTATTATTCTTTGGCTAGAAGACTTCAGGAGAAATTGTTCATGTGAAGTTTTAAAGATAATCTCAAGGCCCCAGCCACAATGGCTCTAGAAAATCTGGATTCTGTGAGAATTTGGATTTCTGTTCCACATTTTCTCCCTTTTGACCGGTATTTTTCTATAGTAGCTCAGGTGAGACATCAGGCTCTTTAGGTCAGCTGTGTGTTTACAGCAGATTTTACCTCGCTGCCCAAGTAGAGTTGGCCCCACAACTCTCCCTACATCTCTCCTGGTCTCTGTCATCATGAAACTCTGCATCACGATGCATCATGTGTGAAAGTTCAGGTGCCCTGGCTTCATCTGCCACTTGGCTGCTGCTCTTCTGCCTGTTGTACCTCTGCTTCCTTGCTTTCTGTCTTGCCAGCTTCTGTTGACCTCGTGATAGTGATTGTTCTCCCCACCAAAAACCCACTGCTATCAACGACCCTATAGGACAGAATGAACTGCTCCCAGGATTTCCAAGACTAATCTTTGCGGGAACGGATTGCCTCATCTTTATCTTGAGGAGTGACTGGTCAGTTTGAACTGCTGACTGTGTGCTTAGCAACCCAATGCTTAACCCACCGGAGTTCCTTTTTTTTAAAGCTTTTATTGTGAATTAAGTGCTAGTTTACATGGGAGAACACAGGTTTTACACCATCGCCTCATTGCAATGATTACAGTCCCCTCCATGCATCATCTTCAACAGTGTTTACTTCTATTCCGTCTGTTTTGTTTCGTTTTGTTTTTGGGGGAGGGAGAAACACTTAGGAATATATAACAATTTAAACAATCAAAGAGTACGTTCTGCAAGCCTGCCACGTGACTGCCAGCACACAGCCTTTCTCTTTCCATGAGTCTAGGGTCCTCAGCTGCTCTCTCTACCAGGGCTCCTTTTGATTGATCTAGCTCTGGTAGCGTAGTGGTTACGAATCGGGCTGCGAACCTTAAGGTCAGCGGTTCGAAACTACCAGCCGCTCTGCGGGAGAAAGATAAGGCTTTCTACTCCCGTAAGGATTTACACCCTCGGAAACCCTGTACAGGGTCGCTATGGGTCGGACCCGACTCAACGGCACTTAACAACAACAACAACAATGAGACTCAACTCCTGCACCTGCTGCCAATGCTGGCAGCACCTGTGGGCTCTAACCTGACGGACGGTCCAAACACATTGCAGACTCGTTAGGGTTTTGAGCACAAACTGGAACGGAAGTCAGGATTCACTACACCAGGGACCTTAGGACTGAGATGTAACAAGGACAGTCCGAGTGAGCCCAGACCCAAGTGAGCCTACCGTGCAGGCCCCCCTGACCAACGTGATGAGCTGCCTCTGGCTGAGATGAACCTCAGGGGACTGAGCATCAGCAACTGCTGACCAGACGGGGCGGTGGTTTGGGCTTTGATCTCACCTGTACAGCAGGTCAGAGTAGGGAGGCGCCTGGAACCCTTTCTACATGGTAGCATGTAGAGAGAACTGATGGGGCATCCTAAATACGTCTCAGCTTTGGCCTTCAATACTAGAAGAAAGGGAGGACCTGAATTTACAGGTCTCTATTTGCAAGGAGCCCTGGTGGCACGGTAGTTAAGCGCTTGGCTGCTAAGTGAAAAGTGGGTGGTTCGAACCCACCAACTGGTCTGAGGAAGAACGTGAGCCTGTCTGCTCCTGTAAAGATTGAGCGCCTTGGAAACTGTGGGGCAGCTGTGCTGTGTTCTACAGGTCACCGTGAGCTAGGGTCATCTCAGCAGCAGCGAATTTGGACTTCTGGTTGCTTTGTGATACAGAACTGTCCCAGAGCCCATGCTCCAGGGTTTTGAGTGCAGGAATGAATGAGTTAATGAGCGCTGCACTCCCACAACAGTTAGGTCTGTGCGCTGAGGGAGAGTGGAGGAGAAGGAGCCAGGCCCTTGAGTGCGATGCTTGTCCTTCCTGGTGGAGTAATGTGTTCTATGTGGATCTTGAGGGACGTGGTACCCGCAGTGTGAGAGCTAGTCTAGAGGTGGGGCTGTGGGGAGGACCAAGGAACAAGTACAGTCAAAGAGTCGGTGTAAGATCTGAAGGAAAAACTAGGAACCCGTCAGGGACAAGATGGCAAGGTCTGGCAGAAAGTCCAGGCATGCAGAATGGGGAGACTGCGCCACACAGAAGCAGGACAGATGCCAAAAACCAGTTACCATCGAGTCAGCTCAGATGCCTGGCGAGCCCCGTGTGTGTCAGAGTAGAGTGTACTCCTCCGGATTTTCCATGGCTGCCTTCTTCTGAGGCGCCTTTAGGTGAACTCGAACCTTCAACCTGTTGTTTAGCAGCCAAGTGTGCTGACCACTTGTATCACCCAGTGGCACCAGGAACAACAGACCAGGGCCCAGGTCCCAGCAAGCACAGCTGATGCTGCCGCCCAGAGCAAGTCTCCCTGCCACCTTGGCACCTCCTCTCTGCCCTGCTTTCAGCCTCTCAGACTTGTTTTGTTTCTCGATTGTCCAAAAAAAACACCCCCCAAACCCACTGCCATTGAGTCGATTCTGATTCCTAGCCACCCAGTGGGCAGAGAAGCACTGCTCTGTTGGTTTTCCAGGGCTGGAAATCTTTACAGGAGAAGATTGCCCTTGGAGAGCAGCTGGTAGGTTTGAACTGCCAACCTCGTAATTAGCAGTCCAACGCTGTTTAGCACCGCCATGGCTCCTCTCTAGATTGTCTGATATCTCTCATTTGCACACACCTTGTGCGTACAGCCGCTGGCTCTCCGCTGCGTAACGTTACAATGTGAGGCTGTTCAAGGCCCACACCGAACAGGGTAGGCACGTCAGACCCAGTTCTCACTCCGCAGATATTCCTCCCTCCAGGGTCATCGCAGGCTCCTTCACCCTTTGACACACCCTGTCCTCCTCCAGGTCCTCACTCTTGAGGATTATAGTTAGGGAGTCTGGTAGTCCATGTAACATTAACAACATCACCCCATTTCACACTTTAAAATGTCCTCGATTGACCACCGTAACCAATGATCCCTGATCAAATGGGAGAAAGATGTGGAACAGATTCTGAAATCCTTAAGGTAGAAAAATCCCAGATTTACTTGACTGTTGAGACTGGAGAACTACCTATCACTCTAGGAAATGAGACACTCTTCAAACCTTGAAGGGAAACTAACCCCCAAGGTCGCCTTATAGCTAACTAACAGATGAGCTCACAAGATAAAGAACGCTGTACTGTGTTCCTTTAAATCATCATCTGTATGAGACCAAACAGTCCAGCGTTATTTTTAAACAAAGCTGAGTGTGTAAGGAGGCTGGGACACTAGATAAACGGAAACAGAACAACCAGAATGGAAAATAATGAGATCACTCACACACTGAGAAGAACGTGCCCAATGTCACTGAACCATTTATGCAGAAGCTGCTGAATGGGAACTTCAAGTGCTGTGTTAACCTTCACTGAAAATCTAACGAACTATAATTGATGCCTAGGATCATTGTGTGACCCTCCTCCTTGCTAGTTCTCCTTTTACACTCTTCCCTCTCAGAGTTTCCTAAGGACCAGGTTATACTGGGGTGATGGTGAATACCTAACTCTGAGATGGGATGGGATGGGGTCAGGTGCAAGGTTTATTCTTAAATGTTTTCACTTGTTTTGAATATATGTCGCATTTGTTTTTAATCCAGGAATGGAAATACCAGAAAATCAAAAGAAGCTGGCCATGTTAAATGCTCAAAGGGCAGGACATGCCAAGTCAAAAGGTAAGTGTTTTGAGAAGCTTTCTTCACCTCCTCAATGACTGTCAGTGTTGGAATTAACATACACTGTTAGCATATAAACAACCCTAAATGAAGAAGAGGAATCTGGATGAATCTTTGAAAGGATCCAAGATGAAGAGTTAGTATTTTGGCCTTGAATGTACACCAGCATTTATTTATAGTTAAATATGGGTCCTGGTGTGGTGTACCGCAAGATTGACAGTTCAAACACACCAAGCTGCTCCTTGGAAACCCTATTACAGGGTCTCTAGGAGTTGGAACTGACTCGCTGGCACTTGACAAAAACATATATATGCCTGTATCGTATAGCACAGTGGCTTTGTACGATAAACACTGGACTTTAAACCGCAGAGTCAACGGTTCGAGCCCATTAGCCACTCTGCAGGAGAAAGATGAGATTTACAGCCTCGGAAACCCTATACAGGGTCACTATGAGTCAGAACCGACTTGACAGCACTTAACAACAACAACAGTGGGTGTATTAAATGTCCTGGTGTGCATAACTTTCACGTAGCTGTGAAATGTATCTAAAGGTGGTACCAAGAAGATTCCAGATCGACCATCCTGCTGACAACTCACCTACTCCGTACCTTTCTGAGTGAATGTTGGAATTTTCCCTCTGATTGTGACAGTTCACCCATGAGAGGTGAACACCGGTCTCTTATATATTTTAGGGGGGTTTGTTGAGTAGGAAACCTCCAACCCCAAGGTTTTTGTTAGCTGTAGATGGCACTCTGGTTTATTTAAGAACAAACAAGATGTTAAAATTCATCAAGCAGTGAGTTAGACAAAAAGAACACACACGAGGTAGCTGAGCACAGTGATACTCCACGCTGGAGTCACAAGAGACTCACCCAGAGACTGTAACCCTCATCTCTCTCCCTCGAGAGGAACAGCTTGGATTCACACCACCAGCCTGTAGGTAGCTGCCCTGCACTTAATGTGCTGCACCATCAAGGTTCCTGTGATTAAAAAGTCTGAATGTCCATGCCTGAGACTCAGGGGATCTTAGTCTGGGAGCCCAGCCTCCCCTGACACAGAGGCACATGGGCTGGAAATCGAACCTGGGCCTCCTGCGTGGAAGGTGAGAGTTCTGCCAGTGAATTACCACCATCCCACTGCCACTGAGCCGATTCCGAGCCCTGGTGACCCTATTGGGCAGAGTAGACCTGCTCCTTAGGATTCTCAATCCTATAAATCTGTACTGCAGCAGACTGCCTCCCTGTTCTCCCTCGGTGCCTGGTGGGATTGAACCGCCGATTCTGTGGTTAGCAGCCCCTCCATGTCCCCAGTGCCCGCTGTGTGACCTGGCTGATGTAGATGACTTCTCTGGGCTTTAGTTCCATTTCTCATCCTGTCTTCCACTTGAGCTCATGGTACTGCCCCTGAAGTGTTTCTGTGAGGATTCAGGGAGAGAATGTTCCTGGGAAAATTCCTTCTCCTGTTAATACCAGTGTCCCCCACACACATATGTTTCAAAGCCCCTCTCGCGTGTAAAGCTACCCCCCCGCTACCAAAAAAAGCCCAAACCCCTTGCCACGGACTCAATTCTAACTCACAGTGAGGCTCTAAGACTGAGTAGCACTGCCCCATAAGGTTCCCAAGGCTCTGATCTTTGCGGAAGCAGACTGCCACATCTTTCTTCTGTGGAACCACTGGTGGGCTTGAACCTTTGACTTACCTGTTAACAACCGGGTGCTTAACCACTGTGCCACCAGGGCAACATAACAAGTGTTTTGTGATCATAACTGTCAGTTTCGACTCATAGTGACCCTGTATAGCATTCCAAGGAGTGGCTGGTGGGTTTGAATCACGAAACTTGAGGTTCAAACTGACCTAGCAGTCCAGCGTATTAACCCACAGCGCCACACCAGGACCTCCTGGCTTAGTTAGAATGAAGAATCAGCCAGGTCCTCTCTCTAGGTTCTTGGTTGGTGGGTAACCCCGTGCCTGTTGTGTCTCCTTCCTTCCCAACCTAGGCTACAGCGGGTGCCCCGTGCCGCCGCCGCCACCCCAGAGCCTCCTCCCCATCCACCAGCGCCACATCACTGTGCCCACCAGCGTTCCTCAGCAGCAGGTCTTCGCTCTGGCTGAGCCCAAGCGGAAGGCCTCGCTCTTCTGGCACACCTTCACCAAGCTCACGCCTTTTAAGAAATGAAGGCGGGGCCTGAGCTGGCTTCACTGCAACACCCGAGGCGCGCATGCGTCTCGGACCCACTCTTGAACGCTTCTTTTTAAGGGGATCACCGAGTGAGAGGAAGACCGGCTCATCGTCTGTCTCCAGAGCCCCGGCTGCCTTCTTGGAAGGGAAGAAGAAGGCCATGGTGCACCGTTGTCCCCCCACGAGAACCCCATGTTGGGGCCTGCTCAGATATGGCAGGGACTCAGAAGTGGGTACCCAGTGGCTGGTGATGAGTGTTTCCATCTGTGATTCAGGCCGGGCTGCAGCTGCTGACGGAGCCCAGAGCAGGCCCAGTCCTCGAGGAGTGTCTGTGGCAGAAGCACAGGCTCATGTGCCCGTCGGGTCCTGAAGGAATCCATCGGGTCAGGGCTGATCAGATGTCACCTCTTACCAGCATGCACTTGGGGAGACCTGGAAGGAGAGCTGTTGTCTGCCAGGGGCAATCAGGGGACTTTGTGAGTGGCACCTCCATCCACAGTTTTGCCAACTCACCCTTTCCTACCACCTAGGAAAAGCAAAACCGTGACGCACATGCTCTTCGCTCAGCAGTAAACTCCGCCATGCAGAATGATGTCAGCTGGCCAGAGGACTGTGTGGCAGGGGCGGTGAGGCTTGTGTCTCAGGTCAGGCAGTCACCTGTTTGTGTGTGTTCTATAATTCTACAAGCAGAAACCACGTCTCATCATCCTTTAAGAAACGGCTCCCCACAAAGACTTGCTCTGATTGTAAGAACCACTTATTTTCACTGGTCTGATAAAGCAAACTGGCGAACGCAATTGTAAAGTCACCTTGAAATACTTCTACCATCAGTTACTCATCATGCCTGCACAAATTAAAAGTTCCGATGAAAGTACCAGGACATTCACATTCCACCCAGAAGGCCACGAATCCTGTCCTGGGACTGGAGCTAACTCAGTGGCAGAAACCCCAAACCGTCATGCGCAACTCAGCCATGATTTGCATTCCAACAGGCTCCGGAAGATGAAGCATGAAGAGAATATCAAGACTCGCCAAGTCGCAGTCTCTTGACAAGGGCCACGCTGGCTGGTGCCTGAATTCTCCTCCTCTGTGTTTATATTGTACATTTTGATGAAAATGTTTATTTGTTGTTTGCTCATTTGTGGTCTTGAATGCCAGAAGAAGGAAGACGGGGCTCTACGAGGTAGATGCCGTTAGAACTGACTCAGTACACTGGAGGGGAGAATGTTGAGGGGCACAATTCAGTGGGTTTCTATTTTACAAGTTCTCTTTTGTACGCTCTTCTTGGGGAGTTCCTGTTTTCTGGTAGGTACATGCTTGAGAATAAACACATCTGTCATGGCAAAGACACGTGCCATCCAAGTCCCTAGTGCCTGGCTCCTTCTTTCACTCCCTCCCGGTTTTCTGAGCCATTCTCGGAGGAGGTGACCCCAGGCTCTCTGGTAGGTAACAAGTGCTCCTAAAGACTCAGTTGCTCACTCGCTGTTCTGTTAAAGCTACTTTGGCTTGGTCTGTGAAAAAGTGTCATTACCAAAGCGTGTAGAAGCCTTTATGAAAGAAAAATAGCTAGTTAGGAAGCTCCTGTTTTTCCACAGGACCTCCAGCTAAGTCTGTGTGATTCTAGAAGCCGTGATTCCGTCTCTGACGCTTCCCCAAAGAATTCTGCATGCTTCCATCTTACAGCATCACCATGTCCAGACGGCAGTTTGGGCATCCTTGAGAGAGTCTAATTGTGTTCCTATTAAAGATTATTTGAGTTTAGGGAACAAAAAAGAAGTTGGAAGGGACAAAATCAGGGCTGGAGAGGGGATAGGGTAAGGCTTTCCAACGAAATCCTCACGGGACAGCCCTTGCTACTCTAAATTCCTTTATAAAACTTTTCCTGGCCTTTTGCTCACCAAGTCCGTTTTTTGTTTTCTTATAACTTCTTTATAATAAGCCTTCATGATCGTCCTGTGCCCTGTGAGAAAAATCTATCAAAATGGCTCTTGGGAGTCCCAAAAGGCAGTCACCATAACCTTCGGAGCTGGCCCCTCATTGCCTTGAAGTAAACTGGCTCAGCAGATCCTCCTCAGAAGTCGCTGATTTGAATGGACCTTTTTAAATTTGACGTCACCAAAGAGTCCTGGTGCAGTGCTTTTGGGTAAGCACCAGACTGCTAATCACAAGGTCAGCAGTTCAAACCCACCAGCCATTCCTTGGAAACTCTATATAGGGATTGCTGTGAGTAAGAACGGACTAAAGGGCACTTAACGAACAACAAGAAGACTAAGACAAGGGTGTTGCTGAGAGAACTTGGCTGCCGCTTCCAATGATACCAGAGACATGTACAAACATGTAGTTTGGAATAAATGCGTGTGTCCTGAGTTAGAAGTCGCTGGAATTGTATGAGAAGGACGCCCAAGAGGTGCCATAGTGCCTCCTGCATATGTGTGGATGTGTTGAATGGGCATGTCTGTTTTAGCTGCATTTATATAATGCAACTTTTCATGAGCAAAGATGCAATGAAACCTATGGGAGTTGGGACTTGGCGGGCTGCCTTGCTTCTCCAAGTCTCCCAAATTGCCTGCCTTTGACAGGATCCCTTCTTGTTGCTCTCTGCTCATGGGAGGAAATAGTTGATGTTTTCCTCCTCTGACACGGGTTCCGTCCTTCACAGGTTTAACTGGATAAGTGGTGTGCATTGAAAACCATCCGTGATCAGATGTTCTAGCCACCTCAGTGGGCGGGGGGTCTCCATGCCAAATGGAGCTGTTTGTAGGTAACTGCAGTTTTGTATGGTTTGTGTGCTTTTCCAAGCGGGGCTTCACAAAGTTCATGGAAAAATAGAATTGAAAGAGGATGGAATTTTTCCATGAACGGTTTGGAGCCTCATATGAGGCATGAGAGAGTTGTTTTAAGGGAGTAAAGTGGAACCTGTGGTTTCATTGGGTTGTCAGTGAAGCCTCCATTCTTGTAAAGAATCCCTCAAAAGCTGCTGTTTACTGATCCTGGGATGCTACGTACGGAAGACAGGCTTTCCTTTTTCTACCCTTCCTCTTCTATCTCCTAGCTGAGCCCTCACATGTGATGACCAACTCTACCCCCAGGGACTTCCTGTCGGAGAAACAGGAAGTAACTCCAGGGTGAGCTGTAAGTCTGGTTCAATTCAGGCCCAACCTGGACACGTCTCGGGGTGGACCCAGGCATGAAAGGCACGCTGTCAGATGTCTGTTCTGTACGTAGGTGGGTCCTACGTACAGGCTGTAAGGAGACTCTTTAGGGTCCCACTTCTCTGGCGCTGTTGTAACGGGAATACAAGGGCCTCTCTCACAGTTTACGAAGATGCAAGTCCACATTCAGGGCATTGGCTTTAGAGAAAGGTCCTTGTCTCTTTTCAGCATCTATAGGCCCAGCATTCCTTGGAGTTCTCCATGTGTCTTGGCGTCAGTCTTCCTCTGGATCTGGGAGCTTCACAGCACAGGGACCCAGGGCCCTAAAGACACTCTGCTTCCGCCTCTTCCTTCTTGGTGGCAGTAGGCCCCTCTCTTTCAACTCATCCCTGTCTTCTTTTATTGCTTTTAAGAGAGAAAGTATTGCTCACCACACCCCCAGGGAAACTTCCTTTCAGTTGATTAGTAGATCCCATCATGGGGCGATTACATTATATTAGATGTCATCCTTGGGGAATGACTGCATTTTTACTGCTAACACACAGAATCCTGCCCCCTCCCCCAAGTGACACAAAACCTGAACTGTTAACTATGACGTTTGCCATTCTTTCAGGATGTGAAAACTTTTTCTAAGAAGAAAATACCCTTGGCTTCTTAAAGTCTAGGTCTAGCTTGGCTGTTCTTTCTAAATGCCTAGGGTGCCGCAAAGAATCAATGGCTCAGGGGATCTGACTTCTGCATTTCATGTGACCAGAAAATGAAACAAAGAGCTTTTTGTGTGACTCTGTATGGACTTCATGAAGAACGCCTTCCCCTCTATGTTACTCTCTGTCTCTCTCACCCTATGTGAGAATATCTCAGGGAGAAGGAAAAGATGACATTTTGATGAATTAGCTCTTCTTCCATTCTTGGGGCAAAATTTGCAAACTCTTTGTGAGGGGGTTAAAAATGTTGAACTAGACTTTGGTCAGAAGCAAACTTCTAAAAACAATTTTTCTTAGTGTTTTATTGTGAATTGTGAAGGTTTACAGACAAAAGAATCTGTTTTGCATTCAATGAAAAACTTTGTTTCACCTCCATGTTTGCAGCCCCCTCCAAGCTTCTGAATTGGATCATGTCTTGAAATAGGCAACAATTCTGCAGCAGATGATAAGCAGTGATGAAAATATTTGTAAAATCCCAGGGGTGTTTGCTTTAGGCCTGCTAAGTAGGAGGAGGGTTGCAATCATTTGCTGGGGCTCCCGGGATGGCCATGCTAAGAGTTGGTTCTAATAGATCTGAGGTTTTCCTGTTTATTTGCCTTTTCCTGGTCGATAAGGATTTTGTGGTTGAAATCGCTTCACCATCTCCGCACTAGGTCTGTGTGTGGGTGTGCCATTTTATTCCTGCTCCAGGCTTATTAAGGAAATCCTAGGAGTCCTGGTGTGGCCCTGTGGGTTAATGCACTAGACTGCAAAGCCGTTTGAACTACAAGGTCAGTGGTTCAAGCTCACCAGTTGCTCCTTGGAAACCCTATACAGGCTCACTATGGGTCAGAAAGACTTGATAACACTTAACAACAATCCTACACAGGAGCCCTGGTGTGGCACTATATAATAAGCACTGGACTGCTAACTGAAAGGTCAGTGGTTCAAACCCACCAGCCATTCCTTGGAAATGCTCTACAGGATCCCTACAAATCGTAACTGACTGGACAGCATTTCATAACAGTCCTGCAGTAGGGAGTGTGATGGTTCTGTAGGGTAAAGTACTGGCCTGAGAACCACAAGGTCAGAGGTTCGAGCCTATCAGCCACTCACTCCACAGGAGAGAGAGACTTTCTGTTCCCTTAAAGAGGTACAGTCT